TGTACAATCTCTCCCCGGGATCTGCTTTGGTGAGGACGAGCGGGGAGGAGAGATATACCTTGAAATCTTCGAAAGCAGCCTGGCACTCCGGGGTCCACTCAAAGGGATTGGCCTTCTTCATGATCTGGAAAAAGGGGATCGCCTTATCAGCCAGCTTGGATAAGAATCTGCTCAGGGCCGCCAGACGCCCGGTGAGCCGCTGCACGTCTTTTAGGTTCTTTGGGGCCTCCATGTCCATAATTGCTTTCACCTTCTCCGGGTTAGGCTCGATTCCCCGCTCGCTCATCATGTAGCCGAGGAACTTGCCGCCCCTGACGGCGAAGGCACACTTCTTCGGATTGAGCCTCATGCTGGCCTTCTCCATGATGCTGAAGACCCTCTCCATGTCCCGGACATGGTCCTCCTTTTTCTTACTTTTGATCAGGATGTCATCCACGTAAGCTTCCATTGTTTTCCCAAGTACGTCCTTGAACAACATCCCAATCATCCTCTGAAAAGTAGCCATGGCATTCCTCAAGCCGAACGGCATGACGATGTAACAGTACACGCCGTCCGCTGTGACGAACGCCGTTTTTTCGGCATCATCGGGGTGCATGAACACCTGATGGTAGCCCCTGAACGCATCCATGAAGCTGAGCAGCTCGCAGCCTGCTGTCTCATCCACCAGCAAGTCGATCCTCGGAACAGAGTAAGGATCCATCGGACAAGCTTTGTTGAGGTCCGAGTAATCGACGCACATCCGCCAAGTGTCGCCCTTCGGGGCTAGTACCACGTTGGCCAACCACTCCACGTGGATGACCGGCCGGATATGCTCGATGCTAAGGAGGGTTGTTGTCTCCTTCCTGATGAAATCGCGTCGGTCGGCCGCCATATACCTTTTCCTCTGTTGTATGGGCTTGGCGTCCGACCGCACGGCGAGTCTATGGCATATGAGGTTGGGGTCGATGCCCGGCATGTCCTCTGGTCCTCTGGCGAACAAGATTTTGAACCTTCGGAGGACGGCTATGACCCCTGCTCTGATCTCCGGCTCCAGATCTGCACCGATGGACACCTTCCTGTCCGTCGGGTCGTCGAGCTCAATTTCTTCCAGCAGAGTTGCTGGTTCCAGATGGGCATCTGAGTCGGCCTGTTTGGCTTTTTCGGAGATGCTGTTGACCCGAGCCTCCCGCTCGTTGAGCTTCTCCATGGCCTTCGTGTAGCAGGCCCTGGCCATATGCGGGTCCGTACGTGCTACCCTTACTCCAGTGTCGGTGGGGAATTTGATGCATGAGTGCCGTACGGACCATATGGCTCCCAAGTCTTCCAAGCCGGGTCGGCCTAAAATGGTGTTGTGGGCGCATTTCAGGCGAACCACGACGAACGTCATCCCGATCCGGGCGGTGTGAGGGCCGTCGCCGATCTCCACTGGTAAGGTGATGGTGCCCTCAGCATCAATGCAATCCCCGGTGAAGCCGGACAGCGGGGTACGCAGGGGGTGCAGCATGTCCTTCTTGAGCTTCATTCCCTCGAAAGCCTCCCAGTAAAGGATGTTTACACTGCTCCCGGTGTCAACGAGGACGCGGCGGACGATGGCATCGTTCACGTCCATGCTGATCACCAGCTCGTCTCTGTGCGGCGCTGGTGACATCGGCAGATCGGCGGGCCCAAAAGTGATTGCCTCGACCTTGTTGCGTTTGGTGGGGGGTGCTGATACGGAACCCACGTAGAGTGACCTCTCAAATTTTTTACGTTCGGCGGGCGTATCCCCCGTCTCAGCGCCCCCGAAGATCACCTTGATCTCCAGCTTCTTCTTTTTGCCCTTCGGGCCGAGGGACCCCTCCGGACGTTTATCCGCACTTTGATAATCCACATCCTGGGGGTCTGCCTCGCGCCGGTCGTCGCGGCGCCATGTCCGAGGCCTTCGGTTCGGCTTCTGCTGGCTGTTTTTGTTCAACAGCTGGGCGAACTCGCCCAAGTACCCCTGACGGATCAGTTCGTCGATTGCTTTCTTTAGTTGGCTGCAATTGTACGTCAGGTGGCCGGCCCTCTGATGGTATTCACAATAGGCCGATTGGTCAAGCCCCATGTGCTTCTTCACATCCTGAGGTTCCATGAGGAGGCCCTTGTCCTTGATAGCCTCAAAAATCTGGCTCACTGGATAGGCCAAAGGGACATAGCGGTCGTCCGGCCGCGTCTGAATATCTCCGGACGAAGCCTTCCAAGGGACCATCGCCCCGTCCGCCTTCTTCTTTTTGTTTGGGGGGGAGGGCCCTGGTCTGGGTCCGAGCCTGTCCGCCATCTTCCGCGGGTGGGCCGCGGGAACTCCGTCCCGCTGCCTGATCTCCTCCTCAATGGAGGCATACTTCTGGGCCCGAGCCAGAACCTCGGTGTAGCTGGTACCGGGGTTTCTCCTCAGGTCCCGGTACAGATCCCCGGTGGTTAGGGCACTGGTGAACATGTTCGTGGCCAGACGTTCGTCCAGATCGTCGACCTGCAGGACTTCGTCCCTCCACCTTACCAAGAACCTAGCCAGCGGTTCGTCCCGCCCTTGTTTGATGTGGGCGAGAGCCGTGACGTCCTTCCTGGGGGTGGTGCTGGCAGCGAATTGGGCCATGAACTGCCGGGAAAGCTGTTCATATGAGTCGATGGTGCCCGGCCTCAGCTGGCCGAACCATTCCTGAGCTGGCCCCCTGAGGGTGCTGAAGAATAACCTGCAGATGGTTTCGTCCGATGCCCCCAGCATGGACAGATTCCCTTGGTAGCTAATCAGATGGGCCTTGGGATCACCGGCCCCATTGTATACCAAGTTGCCCGGCGGCCTGCAGTCCCGGGGGATCTCGACGCTCATCACCCGGGGGTGAAGGGTGATGTGAGAGAGAAAGAGGACGTGGCCGAGCCGGCGTCCGCCCGCCTGTTCATCTCGGCAATCTGCCGCTCCATTGCTTCCAGCCTCGCGTCCTGTGCGGCCCTTCCGGGGGACACAGGGGACGCGGCTTCGAGGACAGCGTTTTGCTGAGCGGCCACAGCACCGTGCGGCCGCCTGAGGATCTGTGCCCCTCGCCGCTGGAATCGTCGTCCAGCGGTGTTGATCCTTGGGGTTTCGTCTCCCCGCGAGACTTGGCGGGGAACTGATGGCGTGTGCGCCCTGAAAGCAGCGATGCTGTCCTTGGTTCGCCCTCCCGTTCCACGGGAGCCTGAACCTCCACCTAGCCGCTCATGGACTGAGGGCCGGTGGTCGCTGGACCCTGTCGTATCATCGTACGACTGCATACGGCGGATGGGAGAGAGGGGTGTTCGCTGGGTGCTTGCAGAGTACACCTGCTCTTGAGCCTCCCGTTCGTCTGCCAAACGGCGCATGGTGTCGGCGAGTTCCCGCATGAGGCGGGGATCCTGCCTGGCCTCAAGGGGAATGAGGTCAGTGATACCCCCGTTTCCCCCGGAGGTCCAGATCGTTGCGGACAGTTCCGAGTTCTGGCCGCGATTCCAGCGGCTTGACTCCAGACGTTCGGAGAGGTCGCGCTGGTTGTTGCTTCCTGACATCGTGTTTGCTGTAGGTAGATTTAGTAGCTGTTTGGGAGAGTTTCTGGAAACTTTTTGTTCAGTTTCCCACAGACGGCGCCAGTGTTGAGGTTTATTCCTTCAACCCTCAGGCCCAACACGTAAGCCCAAAGATTTCGAGTGGAGTGAATGTATGAATATCTAGCCCAACAACTATCAGATGGATCAGGAAAACAGGGGAAATAGCAGGCAATGTAAATAGGTATTATTAACTTCGTAATAACTCCCCTAAGTACAATCTACTTGCTAAAAAAGGCACGTCGGCCGTTCGTCTTACAAGGCAGTTAGAAATGCCGCGAGTAAGAGTGCTAAAGCTAGAATGCTAAGAATAGAAAGTTGTCAACCCTTTCCAATGAAATAAATGCTTCTATTTATACCCGCCAATGGGCAGGTAGCTACGCTGACGTGGAAGCCTGTGGACCGCTTGTGTCCCAACCACCAAATCTTCAGCATTAAATGCACTTCCCGCCAGAATCTAGGTTTCCCGCCTAAACAATGGGGACGTTCGTCCGCCTGGGAAACGAGCTGGATCGCTCCAAGTGATCCTCAAGGGGTTTCGGCTGTTCGTCTCCTGGCCTTTGTGGATCCTCTCCATGTGGACTGGATTTCCTCGGATGACTACAGGCTTGCCATGGGGACGTTCGTCGTCATCCCCTGGTAGCCCGTGGTCCTGCTCCTTGTCCCTGCATGGACGTTCGTCGGGATGAGCCGCTGGGCCTGAACTCCTAACCCCAGACGTTCGTCCCTCCCCCAGGGATATGGGCCTGCGGGCTGGCCTTGTGGTCTGACTGGACGTACGTCTGATGAAGAAAGGGTTAGTGGGCCGGGCCTCGGCTTGGGCCCTTAACCCAACAGATATAATAATTAAATAAATAATATACATATGTAGAGAGATTTGGAGAAGATGAAGATGGAGATGATTGAGTATGAGAGAATAGAAAATTAGAGAGTAGGAGTAGGATTGTATGATGAATTGAAGATGGTGTAAAAAATGTATAGAAAATAGGAGTATAAATAGGTTTTTTTTATCCCCACCCCCCCACCCGACGCCCAAAACCCCCCAGACCCCCCCCCCCCCCCCTCCTAGCCCTCCAACGGCTATAGAGCCGTTTGGGATTATTCCTAACGGCTAGGAGCCCTTCTAATTATAAAAAAAGTTTTTTTTTTTAAAATGTAGCCGTTGACGGCCCAGACCGGCCGGTCCGGTTCGCCATTTGAAGGACCCGAGCCCAGACCGGATCCCCCGCGGGTCGGGCCGAAACAATGCCGGTTCGGTCCGGTTCCGGGTCGGGCCACCGGCCCGAGTCCAGGCCTACTTTAATCATCTTGGTCATGACTGCTTGGTATGAGATGATGAGGATAAACAGTTCATAACTTTTGAAAATGATTCTTGTTTGGATATCATTGGAGCTCAAGATTTGGATATATGTGATTGTTTTATCAATTAAAATAAGTACTCGCCTGAAAAAATGAGAGCAATTTAACCATGAAAAATGATCGTATGGGTAATGGGTTGTCTTGTTTACCTCAATCACCTATTAATAATCCAAATCAGATAACTACTAAACAAGACCCATGAACTAATACTTTACTAATTCTCTATCGAATTAATAAACTACATGTGCTTGGTTTACTACACCCGCATTTTTCTTTATAATAATCAACCGCATTTTTTTATAAAACAAACATTTCACTAATCATACCAACTGTGACACAAACTCTTGAAAGAACACAGTCAGCAGAGTACAGAGATCATCCAAGGGCAACTGATAAGTTGCTTTCAAGTAAACTTTCATCGGCATTTCAGATGTTCAATAAAGCACATATATTTCCAGGTTTATTTAGACCCCCACAACAAGAACAGGTCCTTCACAGGCAATTTAAGATACATAGACTAGGGATCTCCTCCGAGCTCCACTCTCAGGTTGTCATACGGGTAAACCTTTGGTGTCTGATCAAGAATGTAAAAGTTAATTAGCTAAACGGATAACGACATGCGATAAGAGCATGTTTTGTAAAAAGATATATGATGTATGGGAAGTTGAAAACACTCCCTTTGTTCCTATTTATTCAAGTGTTGCCCTATTTTCTTTTCATTATGTCACATTAATGAAATCTACGCACATTAAATGTTTTCCCCAATCCACCTTAGCCACAGAACTGCACTACTATTCGTGTTATGATAGGAATCGGGCCTACTAGGCTAATAATAAGAAATTATAATAAGTGTAGAGGTAGTATAAATAGAAGGGAAAGGGAGGAGTAAACGGTAGGCTGTTACACAGTTAGTCTGGACTGGGAAAAAATAGAGATACTTAGTCTCTTTCTTTTTGAAATCTTTGAGCTGTTTCTGAAATATTAGCTTCATCTTTCTGTAATACTACATACCTGCAAGAGTTCTATCAAAGATGGAAGGAAGAATGAACGACTGGAGAGTAATCAGCAACAGGCATCAGCGAAAATGGCTGCGATACAGGCGAGACTCGCAAACCTGGAAAAGAGAATCCAGAATCGATCGAAGAGCAGGTCACATCGCATTTCGCACCATGGACACGCAAGAAATTTTGAGGGATCTGAAGGTAATTCCAATTATTTTCCTTCGCATCAAGAGCATCGACCTGGAGACCGATCGAGGAACACTAGGCATCCTCCGCGATCTGACAAAAAAAGTTCGTCGCAGTCGCTCACCAGTCGGCAGACTGAGTCGCAAACTGTCTCTCCTAGTTCGCAGTTGCGAACGGTTACTTTTAGTTCACAATCGCGAACGGTTTCGCTCAGTTCACAGACATCGTTGCTAAGCAAGCAGGGTCCATCTCAGTCGCAAGATACTTCTCCCAGTCTGGCTTCGACTTGAGCAGGAAACCCCAGCTGCAATCTCCATCTGAGTTCCCAGATTCGCAGCAGAAGTTGGTTAATCAGCTGTGTGAAAGATATAGAATATACTTTTTTTTTATTTTTTTATTTTTTTGTGGTAGTTAAATTCAAAATTGAGATAAAGGTGGAAACTTACGACAGTTAAATTCCTTTTGTGGACTCAAACTTTGGAGAGTAGAATATCCGATTTGTTTGGGCTTTTGACTCCTACTCCAGACAGAATTAACTATGCAAACCCCACAGAATAACAAAGAGCGTTGTTCGCAGATATGAGTGATGCGTATGTCTGCAGATATCCGATGCAGCCAAGACCCAGCCTTCCTTCTAGCGACAGGATTGGAACAGCCTGGCGACGACGTACAACCTCACCAGGCCTTTATTCACCGTCCCAGACTACTACCGGTCGATCCTGGATGTAGAAAGAGCAAAACAAGCTTCCAATTTTGAAACAAGGTATACCTGGATATCGCTAGATGACACTCCGGCGAATCTGAAGATGGTCGCTGTTAGAATCTTTGGCCAGAAAAACGGCGTCACGCGCCGGAGCGTGCGATGGTTGCAGCGCCTTCCGACGGCACGTGTAGCTCACGCGCGCTGATTTGGGCGTGCGGACTTCTGGTCACCGGTCGACGGCGGAAGGCGAACCAGAGGGACAGTTGTTGGAATAAGGTTATGAACTAAAGTGTTCTCTGATGTTCGGGTAAGGTTCTGAGACTGGATGTTCTGCTGAGATTCTGAGAGTGAGGATGTTCTGCTGAGGTTTGGAAAAAGGTTCTGGAAAAAGACTGAGATCCAAGATTCTTGAAAACTCTGGACTGAAATCAAGAACTTGGAGAAAGAAGAAAGTCCGAAAACTAAAGTGAAATGGATGGCTCTGATACCATGTTGAAATATAAACTAAAATGATATTAGAGATGGAGAGAAGGATTTTTTGTGTATTTCATTGAAGGGTTAAGTCCCTATAAATATACATTACAAATAGAATATTCCTATACAAGATTCTATACAATAATATCCTAAAGTATATTCCTAGAATATTCTAAAGTATATTCTAAACAATTGCTTGTGGTGTATGTCGATGATATTGTGATTACCGGAAGTGATACTGCAGGTATTTTGGCCCTTTCCAATTCCAAACAAAAGACGTAGGCTCATTGAAATACTTTTTGGGTATTGAGGTAACACGGAGTAAGAAAGGTATATTTCTATCTCAGCGTAAATATGTACTTGATTTACTAGCTGAAACAAGGAAATTGGGAGCAAAGCCAAGCACAACCCCCACAGTTCCCAATGTGCAACTCGCTCAAGAAGGCATACCATTCGAAGACCTAGAAAGGTACAGAAGATTGGTTGGAAAGCTTAATTATCTCACAGTCACTCGTCCAGACATTGCTTACTCTGTGAGCATTGTGAGTCACTATATGTCATCTCCAACCATTGATCATTGGGCTGTTGTAGAACATATATTATGTTACTTGAGAGGAGCACTAGGACGCAGGATTGTCTATCAAAATCATGATCACATGAGAATAGAATGTTTTGCAGATGCTGATTGGGCCGGATCTAAAGATGATCGTAGATCTACCTCGGGCTATTGTGTCTTTGTTGGAGGGAACCTAGTATCCTGGAAGAGTAAGAAACAGAGTGTGGTTTCTCGTTCGAGTGCCGAATCAGAATATCGAGCTATGGCGCAATCTGCATGTGAGATCATATGGATAGGCCATTTATTGAGTGAAATCGGATTAAAGACACCAATGCCTGCTAAATTGTGGTGTGATAATCAAGCTGACATACACATTGCCAACAACCCAGTATTTCATGAGAGAGCAAAGCATATTGAGGTTGATTCTCATTTTATTCGAGAGAAGATACAAAAAGGACCGATCTCTACGGGATATGTGAAGACTGGAGAACAACTTGGAGATTTGTTCACTAAAGCACTAAATGGGATCCAAGTTGGTTATTTATGTAACAAGTTGGGCATGATAAATATCTATGCTCCAACTTGAGGGGGAGTGTGAAAGATATAGAATATATTTTAGAATATTAGAATATACTTCAGAATATTCTAGGAATATACTTCAGGATATTATTGTATAGAATCTTGTATAGGAATATTCTATTTGTAATGTATATTTATAGGGACTTAACCCTTCAATGAAATACACACAAAAAAACCTTCTCTCCATCTCTAATATCATTTTAGTTTATATTTCAACAAGCTGCAACCTTCCTCGGAAGATACACACACCTATGGCGATGAGGAACGCAAGGAAAAATCGTCAATTAACCTTGGACCTGAAGCTGGAGCAGTTACTCGCTTCCTCACTCGTAACACCCCCTCCAGGTACGAGCTCGTTAATTCAGAATTGTAAACGAATATCCTGGGGTCGATTGAGGATAGCCCTTCAATTGATGAATACAGTCAAGTCAAGATAAATCAGGCTCGGGAGTCAACCCCTATATCTCGTGGTATTTACCTGAGAGGGATTAATATGTGTAACCACTCAATTGAGAGAACAGTTGAGGTTCAATCAAGGTTTCATAAGGATGGCAGTAATTTTTTGCCATTGATTCCATTTGATGAATGTATTCATTCACATGCTACTGGAGACCCAATGGTTAAACCTCTCTGTACATCAACTGTAACTGATCCAGGGAAGGAGGTGTTTCTTGTAACTAATGTGATTATAGGGATGAAGTGGTTGGTCCATTTGAGGGAATTAGAGGTTATTGTCAGGAAATTCAGCGAAAATGCCATTAACCTCACTTGGAAGAAGATAAATTCAAAACTGAACATTCTATAAATTCAGCAGTTAAAGATGATGAATCTAGTGTGGTTGGAACTGAGGAAATAGTTTCTGTGGCCCCATTTTGGTCAGGCGTTCCCCTTCAAGTCTTCAACAGCTAAATGTTGACCTGAGAGTTTCTGTTTTAACTTCTGCAAAGTTATCTTTAATCATGAGATTCTGTGATAGTCTAGAGGAGCAGAAGCTAAAGCCTTGCAAAGAGTATGAGAGTATTGCCCTTTTCCTTACAACTATGGTCAGAAGAATACCAAGGAAAATGAAGGGTTATTCTTTTCTTTTTATAGAAGTTCCTTTTTGGAAAACTCGCAAAGAATGCTGCTACATCCATTTGGGATTTTATGATTCATGATCTCTCCAGCCTGGATAACACCACCAAAGATTGGAGTTCTTTTAGAGAAAGCAAACTTCCTTCATCTGACAGGCTAGGATGGAACCACAGAATTATGGCTGATGTACTTGGTGATGAAGGAGCTGACTTTGTATTCTCATCCAAAAGTTGTTGCTTGGTTTCTGTGTTGCATCACACTAGCAAAGATTGTCCCATTTTGAAGATAGCATGTGTTCTCCAACTCTCTGTTCCAATAAATCAGATGAAGAGGAAATCTCCTACTGGGGAACGTGCAGTGGCAGAGAGATTTTGGTGGAGTCTTTCTATGGGAGTGGTTTGGTGGAATGAGGTTGGGTGTAATCAAAGTGCGGCAGAGGATGGCATTGTTTCGTTGAAAAAACGTCATTGTGATCAATCATAACTCAATAGGAGAAATGTCAAATGGAGTTGAAGCAATGTTTAGTTCAATAATTTCTGATGAGCAGATTAAAGTGGATGAGAATCCTGAGGTTCAGAGCATGAACACAAATTCTGCTACTAATGTGTTCATCACAAATCCTGGAAGGCAAGGAAACATTTATGGTTATTGAAGGCATGAAGGCTAATGAAGGCAATAAAACTTCACCAGAAATATTCTATGCTGCAGAAACATTTGTGAGTTGGAAAGATCAAATTATAAGCTCCTCGCTCCGAAACCAGTGAGATATTGGGAGTTGAAGATCATGTTTCCTATCACCCACCTTGAGGACAAGGTGGTAGTTTAGAGGGGGAAATATGATAGGAATCGGGCCTATTAGGCTAATAATAAGATATAATAATTAGTGTAGAAGTGTATAATTAGTATATATTTAAGTCTTAAAATGGTATGTTCATTAAAGTGCAAAAAATAATTAGTAGCATGAAAATATTATGTAATCCAAGAATAAGCCATTTAAGAAAAAAAATACAATGTTATAATGAAATTTCACAATAAATGTGTGAATACAAAGAGCAATTAAGCATTAGTTCAAATATATTTTTTCTAAAGTGTATTTAGCAGGTATATTTTGGTCAAGGTGGTTAAAAGTTAATTATGTAGGTATTGCGTAGTTGGTAGGCTGTGCTAATAGCTGGAGGGTGATGCAGGTTCTTGAATATTAGCTTCATCTTTCTGTAATACTACATACCTGCGAGAGTTCTATCATGTTACCATTTTTCCAAAAGGAAAATAGACATGATCCTGGATATTAAATGAGGGCATTTTGGGTAAGTACAAGTTATATTTTCTTAAACTGTGTGAGTTGGTAAACTTAGACACACAACATAAATAAGAATGCGGAAGTATGCCGAGTATGTTTGGGTGAGGAAGGAGACTTTGAAGCCTAGACGTAAGAGGGGAAGGGAAGTGACAAATTTTCAAAGAGGGGGGCTGAGGAGGAATAGTAAATAAATATCACTTTAGATGTAAAGTGAATTCAAATAGTTGAATTGAATTCATTTTAAATTGAGCTAATATATTCATTTAATTTGTTATCCTTCAAATTAGCGCTTTGAGAAAAAAGGGTTCGCCCGAGGCGCAACTCGTAGGGATGGTAATTGTGACCAAACCGATGGATACCCACACCGAACTGCCCCGGTCAAAACGGGGAAAACTGCATTGACCGGGTAACGGGCACGGCGAATACCCTTTTTGTTTTTACGGGTAATGGGGTGGTTACGGTTGTTACATGCCCGCCCCATTACCCCCCATTTATTTTTTATTATATTTTTATTTTATTACATTTTTATCTATTATTTGTCCCACAACTACTAAAAGATGAGATTTTTCTCTTTCCATTATGTATGTGTATATATATAGGGAACTCTTCCGGTAAGGTATACCTTACCGGAGCCGCCGTGCGGCCTCCACGTTTTGAGCGCCTTCCCGGTGGAATTTTTCGATGAAATTTTTTGAGCATGTTCTTCATCAAGTCTAGTACATCTATACCAAATTTCAGCAAAAAATTCAACCGGGAAGGCAGTCAAATGATTTTTGGAAGATAACTGCACTCTTTTTCTTCCAAAAATCGTTTGACTGCCTTCCCGATTGAATTTTTTGCTGAAATTTGGTATGGATGTACTAGACTTGATGAAGGACATGCTCAAAAAATTTCATCGAAAAATTCCACCGGGAAGGCCCTCAAAACGTGGAGGCTGCACGGCGACTCCGGTAAGGTATACCTTACCGGAAGATTTTCCTATATATATATACACACACACACACACATACACACACACACACATACACACACACACACACACATATATATTATAGATGTACTAACTATAATGTATGAATGAAAGTTATTAATATATTTTAATAGTCTTGTTTGATTATTATCATTTTTTTCGTGATTAACTATTTTTAGATCAAGTATTTTTAGGTCCAAATTAATTTAAGTTGCTTCATTTCTCGTCTTGTAGATATATGAATATTTAAAGTGGCGTCTGAAGTCTAGAGTCGTCTAGGCAATGTCATTTTTCACCTTTTAAAGTATTATTTTTATATAAAAAAATTAATGACTCATTTTATAAAGTGGTTACTCATTTTATACTCTAAGCTTTATTTGGAAACAGTTAACATTTTAAAGTTTGGGGTATATATATTACATGTGCAAGTTTGGGGTACTTACGTCACGGCTCACGCCCTTCCAAAGTTTGGGATATTTAAATTATTTTTTCCTAAATTTAATACAATAAGGTAACCCAAAGGGCTCCATTTTGTAGATTTTTGCAATTTAGTTTGTCGCTTACTTTAGCTAATACAACAAGCAGCTAACTAACAAATGAACTAGCTTTATGATAGGAACGAAAAGCTAAAATTACTCTAAAAACCCTTTTGCAAAACCTGGCCTAAATGTATATAACTATATACATGGTATGACTTATGGAAAAAACTGTTACTAAAACTTGCCCCTATAGGAAGTAAATATATAATCTTCTTCAAACACTACTGAGGGCATTGCCTGCACAAGATGATAGTGGAAAATCATCCAACGATATCCAATATCTACTTCATATTATCACCTTCTGAGTTGAATAGAGAAAAGGCAAATTTATAGGCTTTGATGGAAAACATGGGCTAGGCTCCTGGATTTGCATAAGGGGTTTGACATGATTTGGGATCAGATGATGAGCATGGCCTCTAAAACCAATCTACCAAGTTTGGGACCATGGGGTGGGCGGAGGAAAATGGTCTCTGGTCAAAGCTAGCCAAAGGTTGGCATGCTTCTTCGTCGAAATCTTCAACACATGTGGGATGTCTTCTCCACCAGATGCTAAACGAATGGGCTATGTGTGTAAGCTTGGCCCACACCACAGTTGGGCACGTGCACTTCAAACTTGTTTGTAACTTTGTATCATCTAAAGCCTTTCTGCTTTCACTCTCTACAACAGCCCCAAGCAGCCATGTAATTGTTAATAACTAATCTGACACTAAAGATTCTTGGATCTATGAATTATTACTGGAGGAAGGACAGAATCATACACATTTTTTAAACCCGGTTTTAGTCCAAAGAATCCGAAAATCCTTTGGGGTAGGGGCCAGGGAACACCCTACCTCTTTATTAAATTGGAAAAAAAATTACAAAGAGTAGGACAGAAACATACACATTTTTAGGTATATATGGGAAGCAGTATCCTAATATATCATAGCTCAAGCTGGTCTAAATTCTTTAACTTGAAGCATATATTCCATTATGCGTTCTCTTTACACACAACACTCGAGGTTGTGAGTTAATTGGATACAAATAATAAGTAATACACAAATAAGAACCAAGAAGGTTGTGACTCACAAATGGGATTTTGGCAGCTTTATCATTCCAGACAGCTAATAGTCCTAGCGTTGCAAAACATCCCAATCCACCGCACAACCAGGCCAATGCTTCATACTGGTTACAACCAAAAGTCACAACTCATAAAAACATCTTAACCTAATTTGGAAATGATAGCAAAATTTGAAGAGCAAGGTAAAACGAAATAGGAAAAACAACACACATCCTTACCTTCCCGACGGTATCCGCAATACGATCAATACAGGGTTCTGGGAATGGAGTCCCATTGTCCCACACAAGCTCATCATTCACTGGGACCTAAAATGAACATTAAAAAGAAGAGAAATAAAACTAACCTTTGTTGGAGCTTCATTGTCTTGCTCTACAAGTAAATCCACACACACATGTGTATATTGTGTACAAAATAAACTATGAGTGTATTTGTTCGGGGGTTGAAAATTACTGGTTTATCGGGAACGAGATGCTTGCCGACAGGGAGGCCCATTCCGGAGCGAGTACGAAGGGAATAGGTGACAGATTGCGCGACGCCGCCTCTGCCGCCCATGAGGTGAGCTACAGTTTGACTCAACCTTCTGGCCATTTCTGATTGCAGGATTTCCCAGGGCGAGGATTTATATTCCTGTGAAAAATCTGAGGCGATGACTCTCCTCAATTGAACTCCCTTCCCTATCTTTATTCAATTTGTCTTGGGTACACAAGATGTATTGAACATCATACTAGTATAAAAAACCCCCAAAAATTACCATTCCATTTACCCCCACCTTCTCTCCTCTCTTTCTTTCCCTCCCACTCCCCCTTCCCGTTGCTTATTTTCGCACGCAGACAAACGCAGCAAAAAACAACTGTTCACTGAAGCTTCTTCTTCCTCCTGTTCTCTTCACATCTCGACGGAGGAAGTATACTTAGACTTGAGGAATGGATTATACTCTTGAGGAGATGGCCTTCATCAGTAGTTATGACATGGACGATTTTATGGGAGCTAAAGTAGACGAAGGCGGCTCCGTGTCTGAACCTCCGGCGACACAAGAAGGTGAGCCCTGTACGAAAGACGTCGGCGACGGAGAGGAAAAGCAGATTCTGGAGGTTGATGATGAAGAAGGTACGTGGAACGTAATGTCTGTGAGGACAGGCATTTCGTCTTTTCAGTGCATGTAGAACTGAATGACATTGTATTTGTATACTCTAACATTCATTAATGGCACTCCATGATTTTGAAGTAAAAGTGTTGTATTCGTATTGTATTTTGATGTAGTAAATGTTGATATTCTATTGCTTGTGCACACAGATGAAATAAAGTAAATGTGTTTTGCTATTGCCTGCCCACAGACGTTTATATTTTTAATAATCAATTTTTATATATGTGTTCTCTCATACCCGGATAACACTAATGTAGATGGTGGTACACCAGACGTCCATGTAGAAGTTGGGATGTTGTTTGCGGGAAAAGATGAAGCCTATGATCATTATAAGAATTACGCCAAACGTATAGGTTTTCCCATTAGGATTAGGAGCTCAACGAAAGACAAAGAAGGAAACGTAACAGGAATGTTAATTGAATGTGGTCGTGCTGGAAATAGAGTTTCAAAGTCAACAAATTGTTTGATGCCTGCAGCTACTAGTGCAATGGGTTGCAAAGCCCGGATCAAAGTAATGTATGACTATGCCGGGTCATGGGTTATTTCGAAAGTGCATGAACAGCATAACCACCCTATGAGTCCTACCAAAACTAGAGCTTTTCGTTGCAATAGGAGATTGACTATGAGCGCGAAGAGAAAAATTGCAATAAATGCGGTTGCCGGAATTCCTCTTCACAAAACCTACACCTCTGCCGTAGTAGAAGCCGGCGGTTATGAGAATTTACCGTTCATTGAAAAGGATTGTAGGAACTACGTTGACAAGTTTCGCCGCTTGCGTTTAGGAAATGGTGATGCCATTGCAATTCAAAGTTTCTTTTACAAAATGCAAGCGGAGTGCTCCGGTTTTTTCTTTGCCCTTGATGTAGATGAAGAATCTCGCCTTCGCAATGTATTTTGGGCGGACAAGCGATGTCAGTATGCTTACAGAGATTTTGGAGACGTGATAACTTTCGATACAACTTATCTCACCAATAAGTACGACATGCCATTTGCACCTTTTGTAGGAGTAAACCACCATGGGCAATCCATCTTGTTTGGTTGTGGCTTAATTTCAAATGAGGTCACCGACACATTTGTGTGGTTGTTTACAAAGTGGCTTGAGTGTATGGATGGTTTTTGTCCTAGTGGAATTATTACCGATCAAGATAGGGCAATGCAAAATGCCATTCAAATTGTGTTCCCGAATACAAGACATAGGTGGTGTCTATGGCATATAATGAAGAAGGTGCCAGAGAAGTTAGGAGGGTTGACTGATAAAGATGAAGTTAGTGCTTGTTTACATGATGCTGTTTATGACTCCCAAACGGGTGCACAATTTGAGTTCGCATGGAGTTCTATGTTGCAAAGGTAAGCATTTGTTTTGTACAAGTTATGTTCAATATTACAACTATTGTAACATTCATGTTTTGTAATGTGTAGGTTTCATCTTAATGACCACGAATGGCTACATGTGCTTTACAATGAAAGACATCGGTGGGTGCCATGCTACTTGAGGCCAACTTTTTGGGCAGAGATGTCAACGACCCAACGGAGTGAGAGCATTAACACCTTTTTTGACGACTTTGTTCATTCTAAAACAAGTCTAAAGGAATTTGTTGATCAATACGGACGTGCGTTGAAATGTAAAGTAGAGAAAGAGTTCCAAGAGGATGCTAAGTGTCTCACCAAAATGTTGCCTTGTGTGAGTATATATGCCATGGAACATGAGTTGCAACAAATGTACACACTTGCAAAGTTCAAGGAGTTTCGAGCTCAAATGGCCGGGAAGTTGCATTGTGACCTGTTAGGGTGTGAGGATGGTATACATTACAACATCCGTGAAGACAAAATGGAGAATGGGGTTTTTTTCAAAACAGTCCATGTTGTGGTTGAGTACGATAATTCTATCCCTAATTCTAAAGTCATGTGCACGTGCCACTTATTTGAGTTTAGAGGGATTGTTTGTAATCACATCATCACAGTCCTTGTGCGTAACGGAGTTCATGCCCTACCAGAGTGTTACATCATGCAAAGGTGGAGAAGAGATATCAAAAGAGGATATACAAGAGTAAAAATTAACTATGATGGTTGGATTACGACTAAAGAGCAACAACGGTTTGACAAGTTATGCACCACCTTTGAAAGACTTGCAAATAGTGTGGCTGATGATGATGAACATTATGAACGCGTCTCCACATGGGTTGAAGGTGAATTACAAAAATGCAACATGTCAAATGGTCGTTCGTCAATTTGTGGAGTAATGACTCAATTAACGGACACCCCGCCAATCCAAGTCGTAGGCGTGAACGGACAAACAATTGTTCCTATTGAAGATCCAAAGAGGACAAAACGTAAAGGCGCTCCGAGAAAGAATAGGCAAAAAGGGCCTATTGAAAAGGGAAAGAAAAAAGCTAAGGTACATTATATTCATTTGTCTGTGCATGAAACCGGCTCAATTTGTCCGTGAGACTGGAATGAAATGTCTTCCCACAGACATTAAGCCACTGGAACCACTGGATTACCCAAAGTATAAATGTCTGTGAGACTGGAATGAAATGTCTTCCCACAGACATTATGCCACTGGAACCACTGGATTACCCAAAGTATAAATGTCTGTGAGACTGGAATGAAATGTCTTCCCACAGACATTAAGCCACTGGAACCACTAGATTACCCAAAGTATAAATGTCTGTGAGACTGGAATGAAATGTCTTCCCACAGACATTATGCCACTGGAACCACTGGATTACCCAAAGTATAAATGTCTGTGAGGCCGGAGGAAAGTGTCTGACCACAAACATTTTACCACTACAACATTCAAATTTGTTATCGACTCAAATTGTGTACTATTGCAATGTATAACAGGGCTCGCCAAAAAAGCAAGTTGGGAAATCATCAGTGGAAGTGGCCGGACCAAGCAACATTGAAGAGGTAGTACCAAGAAACGTTGCACCAACCAATTTAGAATGGATGTATAATGATGACTTAAGCTTGAACCTTTCTTTGTTTTAGCCTTTGGGCAATTACAACGCATGTAATGACTCAATTTTTGTATCATGTCACTCAATGACAGTTTGTCACATACTTTGCAATATATATTCTAAATGTCGCCATTAATTACATATTGTGACAATGTACGAATCAATACAAAAACCACAATTTCACTATGCTAAAAAGAGTTAAATATTGGAATGTTCACATCCAATATACGACCATCATATACTGCAAAACCAGAAGTTGATATACATATGTTTGGTTTAGGGATTACATCAAAACATAAGCATATATATAACTACTTCGGGCATATGATGGACAAATTGTTGCAACAAAAAATAAGTACTTTGGTTTAAGTGTTTTTTCCCATCATTTACAAGGACAAAAATATACATGTGGACAGCCCTCATACATTCTTCAATCTTCTACGCTTTCTTCCTGAAACCCCATAGACGTACTGCAAAGTTGTTTCGTATGGTGCGGCAGTTGTCGTACTCACACCCGGGTGTTAAGGGGAGGTCATGCATCAAATGTTCAGCAAACGCCATAACCATAACACCGCATACTCCACTCCTGCACAAAAGTAAGAACAAAGTCATATATACATACACGATTCCACCGGTCATCAAACATCATAACCATAAGATTATTTATCTTGGTTTTTTTACCCTATTCCTTGTTGCGGAACCCCATGAACAGCCACTGCCTCCCATGGTCTAAGGTGTAAGGGACGTGGGAGGTCATGTTGAATCTCTTGAAGTAGATAAGGAAGCCTCGAACACAAATCAAATGCATACCACGCACTTCGGGAAGTCTTTAAGGAATCATAAACTTTAACCACGACCTCCTCCAAATTCACCTCACACAATATCCAGTGTTTATTTTCAACATTCAACGGAATTAATACCTGATAATGAATAAAGTATGGGTTGAAGATGTATGTGTAGCATAAAAATAAGAATTTAATTGTATGAGGCCAACACAATATAAGTAACAAGTCACACCTTTGACAACCCACGCCAGTCAATGCGTTTCAAGAATCTGTCTCCACTCCAATCTTCTGGCTTGTCAAATCTCTTCTTCTTCAATTGATTCTGCATTTAGGCAATGATAGACAGAAATTGCTTTAATACTAATGGGAGACACCTACACTCCATAACATGTGGATGTTAGAGATTACCACGAAAAACATGGAGATTATTTCACATTTTTGACCCTCAATTCTGTGGCTCATCAACAAGTTGGTTATGGCATCAATGTGCTGCAAGTAAATGGTTAACATCACGGATTAAAATGTATGTCCAAAAACGTTGCACACAGGCAATTAGTAAAAATTACTTATTAAAAATTACTTTATGCATATAAACTTACCATACTGCTCAGCCATTCCTGTGGGGCTATCAGGTCACAGAAAAACTTTCTATCAACAGACATATAGATTGGCATGTCTAACATCACACACACCGGTTCCTCAGTAGCAGGGGCTTCTGCCCAAGTCTTTAGCTCATTCAAGACTTTATCTTCTTCCGGAATTTCAGTTTCGCTTCCAAGTTCACTGGGCTTCACCCGCTTAGCACACAGATCCATAAAGGGACTGCTATGATACTTTGAGACGAACCTCTTTCTTTTTTTCCTTTCATATATGGCAGGTTGGGCTTTGGTTATTGCAACATCTTCTTCAAGAACATCTTGCCATTGCACATTTGTAAAAGGCGTTGAAGCAGTGACTGATGCATCCAAGAATGCCACATCCTACGAAATTGAAATAAATAATGTGTTTAGATATGTGCACAAACCAGGAACACTATTGATATTCACACACGAATTTTAATGTAAAGATAGTGGTAAAACTTAACCTTAGGAAGGGATTCTTCACAATCTCCTAAGACCAGATCTACATCTGTCACGCCCCGGACCTACCCGGACACGTCAACAATCCGCCGTACAGTACGAATGGTCAACTGCAGTCCAGCACATTCATACTATACAAGGCGTCTGGGATATCATTCACACATAGTACATCCATAAACAAACATAATATAAAATATTCATTGAAAACAGCGGAAACGTTTAATACAAGTGTTCAAGCCACACTTGGCGAAGCATGGGCATACAAGCCATCAAATAGTTATTCAAAAGATAACATCCATGAGCATTAATTTAAATGAGTTTAAAACAGGAACGGAGGAAGCACGAACCACGTCTTCTTCTCCTGAATTCTCTTGGAGCAACGGCGAGGGTAGCAACCTTCAAGTTCTACCTGAAACTGTGAGGTGGCCTCCCCCGTGAAGGGGAGGTCAGTACTTGGAAGCATTTGACAAGTACAATGACAACTATACTAAGTATAATCAAAGTTTCAATTTCCAAGACCCTCAATCTAGGATGTTATTATATTATAGGTCATAACCCGTGGTTACCCTCTTTGAAAGTATACTTACTTTATATATAAAGTCAAGTAGTCGCCCGAAGGCCCATGTTTACTTTGAAAACATTTAACCCTTTCCCCGTGACTTCAAGCCACACCCATCTATATTAGTTTACCATGCTAGAGGCTTCCTCTAGTCATGTTTTGTCGTGCTAGAGGCTTACTCTAGTCACTCCACTTGGTGTTAGAGGCTTCCTCTAATCACCTTACATACGTTGTGCTGGAGGCTTCCTCCAGTCACATTACGTTACGCTAGAGGCTTCCTCTAGTCGTCCTACACGAATGCTGGAGGCTTCCTCCAGTCATTCTTCATCGTGCTAGAGGCTTCCTCTAGTCACGATACTAGTTCACTAAGCAAGTTCTATGCCTAGAGTTCCTCTATTATGAGTAGCCTTTGAGGCCTACTCCTACGGTAACTTAGCGTTTACCCATTTCTACCTTAAGACATCTCATAAGACTACTTAAGGTGTACCTCTCTAACAATCCAAGCCCTTAGGATTTGTTCTATCACTTTTCATACTAACATTTCTGACTAGTAAAATCAATACTAATCCATTTGTCTTTAAGCCACCAAGCTCTTTAATTCATAGTTATAAGGCTCATTCCCATGAATTTCCCAATCTATATATGATTTAATCTCAATATCAAAAATATCACTTTTATCCATTCATGATTTCTATACATGAAGTAAAAGTATATTTCATCACAAAAATTCATGATTTATACATTCATCATATCATCATTCTTACAATGCATAACTATACACCATTTACTCATAAATTTGTATATTATGCATCTTCTATTAATAAACAACAATATTTTCATTAGGCATTATTAATCATTAATAATCCATGAAAATCACATTTAATTATCTTAGGTAATCTTATGAAATTAACCCAAAGATTATAAGCAATATAGTCGGTCATCCTCATCTTAAGCGAGCTTAAGCGCGTTCTACGCTTCCCGATTGAACTTTGACTAATTCCGGCAAACTTTGACCAACTCCGGCGAACTTTGACCAACTCCGGCGAAACTCCGGCGAAGCTCCAAAGTACTTTAATCAAGTTCCTAACAAGGTTTTAACATCATAAAACCTTAATCAATACGAATAACCTCTAAAAGGTTATTTTCCGGTGAACTTGTCGGTTTGGCTCCTAAGTCCGTTTTTGGGCTTAGAACCCCCTTCCAACCCATCATTCTACATTTAACTCATGTGGAACAATCCTCAATGTTCTTCATATGACATATATCTCATATGGTAGAAGAAAAATAAAGGAAAAGCTATGATAAGGCCATTACCTCAACTTTTCTCACTTTTTCCTAGCTTTTCTCCTCTTGAAACACCTTCTTTGGACTACTCCTCCTTGAGCTCGTTTCTTGGCTATGGAGGATGAGTTTGCAGAGCTCTTTCTCCCCTTTTCCTTGGTGCTGGCCGAAGTGGTTGAGTGAGGAAGGAGGGGGTGGGTTTCTTTTTGTTTCTTTTGGGCAATTATGGGTGAGATGGGTCCTCTTACATGTCAAACATGTTTCCTCCATCAACTCAAGAGTATTCAGCCACCTTTTGAGCTCAATCAATCCCCTTTTGGTTGAAAATTTCGTGGGGTGGCCCCCACCTATGTGGGAGGTCATCCCAATTCGTCCCGAAGTGTACAATCGGTCCTGAAAGTTGTATTTTTTTTGGACTGTTTTAAATATATTTTATTTTATTGGGTCAAATAAAATATATTATGTGTTTTCCATCATTATAATCCTTATAATGAATATTCATTCCCCAATTTTAATTTATAAGTCCCCGAAATTAAATTTCGGGCTTTTATCGGTTAAATTGCCAATACCGGTATTTGGGCCTCTTTTGACCAATCGGTCAACTCAAGACCTTTCCATGGTTCAAATGAATTATCCACCACCATATAAATATTATCTAGACCAAGATGAATAATTTATGTGGTCCCGGAAATATCGGGCGGCCCCCGCTCCCGGTGCGGGCCCCACGTGCGAACTTACTATTCACGCAAAAATTAATAAAAATTCGTAACCTCGTAAATTCGTCAACCATTCCATAAGGTTAAAATACAATATTCACTTTAAAAGTAAATACATTTGGGGACGGTGTTACAAGTTCACCCCCCTTATTTGGGATTTCGTCCCCGAAATCCACGTGTCTAATCGAAGAGAAAAGGGTATTGCTCTCTCATTGAGACCTCAGTCTCCCATGTTTCTTCCTCGACCCGATCACTCCTCCAAAGGACTTTTACCATAGGAATCTCCTTGTTCCTCAATTTCTTCACCTGTTGACCCACAACCTTTACCGGTTCCACTGCATATTGTAGATCTTCACGTATCTCCACCGGTGGCTTCTCAAGAATATGAGATGGATCTCTCACGTATTTCTTGAGCATCGATACATGAAACACGTCGTGTATCTTCTCAAGTTCCGGCGTCAGCTTGAGACGGTAAGCCACCGCCCCAATCCTTTCAAGGATTTCAAACGGACTAATGTATCGGGGGTTAAGCTTTCCCCTCGATATAAACCTGATGATACCCTTCCAAGGAGAAATCCTTAAGAAGACCTTATCACCGACCTCGAATTCCAATGGCCTTCGTCGTTTGTCGGCATAACTCTTCTGCCGATCTTGAGCAACCTTAAGTCTATCCTGAATGACTTTCACCTTAGCCTTGGTGATTTCAACAAGTTCAACCCCTTCTAGCTTGGCCTCGCCAACCTCGTCCCAACACAACGGTGTTCTGCATTTCCTCCCATACCAAGCCTCGTATGGGGGCATGCCAATACTCGCCTGATAACTGTTGTTATAGGCAAACTCGACTAGAGCCAAATGTTTGTCCCAACTCCCTTGGAACTCCAGAGCACATGCCCTAAGCATATCTTCCAATATCTGTATTACCCTCTCAGATTGTCCATCCGTTTGTGGATGAAAAGATGTGCTAAACTTCAGTTTAGTACCCAAAGATGCTTGAAACTTGGGCCAAAATCGAGATGTGAATCGCGGATCCCTATCCGAGACAATGGATATCGGGACTCCATGTAGTCTCACAATCTCCTCCGTGTATAGCTTTGCCAATCTTTCAAGAGGATAAGTAATGTTGATAGGCAAAAAGTGTGCACTTTTGGTGAGCCTATCAACCACTACCCACACTGCATCATAGTTGTTCACTGTTCGTGGTAGCCCCACCACGAAGTCCATGGTCCCGTGCTCCCACTTCCATTCCGGAATGGTCAGTGGCTGCAAAAGCCCCGCCGGGTGTTGATGCTCTGCCTTAACTTGTTGGCAAGTAAGGCATCGACTCACGTACTCTACGATGTCTCTCTTCATACCTGACCACCAGTAACTTTCCTTCAAGTCTCGGTACATTTTAGTACCTCCTGGATGCATAGCATATGCCGAAGAATGAGCCTCCTCTAGTATGGACTTTTGGAGCTCCTCACTCTTTGGTATGAATACACGGTCTTTAAACAGTAAAAGACCGTCATCACGTACCCGAAAGTTCTCCACGGGCCCCTCAAGGATCCGTTCACGGATCATCTGACATTCTTCATTAGTGGCCTGACATCTACTGATCTCACCCAGCAATGTAGGCCTAACCTCGAATCTAGCAATGAGAACCCCACTCGTGGACACCTCCACTTGTGCCCTCAAAGCTCGTAGACATGTGAGTAGTGTCCCCGATGTACTCTTCCTGCTCAGTGCATCGGCCACTACATTAGCCTTTCCGGGATGATAGTCAATGATCAAGTCATAGTCCTTGATCAATTCCATCCATCTCCTTTGTCTCATATTCAACTCTTTCTGAGTGAACACATACTTCAGGCTCTTATGATCGGTGAAAATGTGACATGTCTCCCCGTAGAGATAATGCCGCCAAATCTTCAGTGCAAACACTACCGCTCCCAACTCTAGATCATGGGTAGGGTAGTTCGTCTCGTGTTTCTTCAGTTGCCTAGAAGCATAGGCAATCACCCGCCCGTTTTGCATTAGTACACACCCAAGACCTTGAATGCTAGCATCGCTATATATATCATACCATATCCCTTGTGTGGGCAGGGCAAGGACTGGTGCTTCGGTAAGTCGTTTCTTTAATTCGAGAAATCCTTCCTCACACTTGTCGTCCCACACGAACTTGGCCCCTTTCTTTGTGAGCTTTGTTAATGGAGACGCCAACACCGAGAATTTCTCAACAAACTTACGATAGCATCCCGCTAAGCCAAGGAAACTACGTATCTCTTTCACATTTTTGGGTCTCTCCCAATTCACAACGGCTTCTATTTTGGCTTTATCCACCGCAATGCCCGAACCTGACACGACATGCCCGAGAAACCCAATCTCTTTGAGCCAAAACTCGCATTTAGAGAATTTTGCAAAGAGTTGTTTTTCCCTTAGCCGTTCGAGTACAAGTCTCAAATGGCCCTCGTGTTCCTCTTCACCTTTGGAGTATACTAGAATATCGTCAATGAATACTATCACAAATTGATCTAAGTATTCACTAAACACACGGTTCATCATGTCCATGAACGCCGCCGGTGCATTGGTTAGACCAAATGACATCACCAAAAACTCGTAGTGACCATATCTAGTGCGAAATGCACTCTTAGGTATGTCACTCTCCTTTATCTTCAACTGATGATACCCCGACCTCAAATCAATCTTCGAGAATACCGTAGCCCCTCGAAGTTGATCAAACAAGTCATCAATCCTCGGTAAAGGATACCTGTTCTTGATCGTGACCTTGTTCAACTGTCGGTAGTCTATACACATTCTTAGTGTACCATCTTTCTTCTTTACGAAGAGTACGGGTTCTCCCCACGGTGAATGACTGGGTCTGATGAACCCGTTGTCCAATAATTCTTGTAATTGGACCTTCAACTCTTGAAGTTCGGCCGGTGCCATTCGATAAGGGGGAATCAAAATGGGTTTGGTTCCCGGCTCCACTTCAATTACAAATTCGATCTCTCTATCGGGTGGAAGCCCCGGTAGGTCTTTAGGAAAGACATTCGGGTATTTGCATACGACTCGTACATCTTTGATGTCGACTTCCTTCTTGGTATCGTCCACCACATCGGCAAGGTATGCGTGACATCCCTTCCTCATCATCTTCCGTGCTCTCATCACAGATATGATACAAGCATTAGATTTCCCCCGATCTCCCTCGAAACATAGCGTGTTTCCTTGATCATCCTCGAGCTCCAACACCTTGGTGTAGCAATCCACTCGGGCATGGTGTTTCTCTAGCCAATCCATCCCTAGGATTGCATCGAACTCCAACATGCTTAGAGGTACGAAATCACAAGTCAAGGGTTGACCCGTCACTTCCACCTCACATGATGGATAGTAATGATTTCTCTCCACGTCATCTCCTAACGGTGTGGAGACCAGTAATGTTTGCGTCATAGGCGCCAACGGCACGTCAAGGCCCTCGGCGAACGCCTCACTCACGAATGAGCGTTGTGCCCCGGTA